GGCGGCAGCGGTGCGCCGCTCGCGGGCGGCTGGCGCACGGTCTCTGCCGGCGGCGGCGCTGCGGCGGCGGCCGGCCCTCAGGATGCGCCGCCAGACCCCTGGGCAGAGGAACAGCGGCTTGGGCTCAGCGCGCGGCTGCAGCAGCTGCAGCAGCCACGGCGCCAGTTCCTCCAGTTGGGCGGCGGCGGCAGCTCGGCCGCGGCTGCCACGGCGGCGGCGGCGGCGGGCCGGGTCGCCGACAGCTGGGAGGACGCGCTGGCCGCGAGCCAGCCGGACGCGCCGCAGCGCGGGCCGCCGCCAAAGCTCGTCGGGGAAAACGTGTTTGCGGCTCTCGAGAGAGGGGACCTGTGATGTTGGCGTGCGTCACCCCACGCGCGTGCGTCGTCCCAAGCGCAGCGTGAGAGGGGGAGGAAAGGAGGGGCGTTGGGCTATGCTGGAGAGCGGGCGCGGGCGCCTGTGAGCGCGCGTGGCTCTTGCGCGGCAGGGAGCTTGCCGTTTGGCGCACATGTGGGGTGCACGTGTTGTCTGCATGTTTGATATTTTTGATGCATAGGAGCGACTGGGGGAGGGCTTCCTTTCAAGCATGTGCCCTTGCGCTTTGCGGCACGGGTGTCGCGCAAAACGTGCGGCTGCGGCGACTTTCGGAAATGCACGACGCCGAAAGGGGCTGCCGTGAAGAGCGTCGTTGCGCCGCCCACACGCACGCCCATGTGTCAAAACCCGGGCCTTGGTGTGGCTGTCAATCTGCAATTGGAAAGTCAAGGACGGGCTGCACTTTTCACAATCTTTGTCAGGGCCGTAGAGCAGAAAGCCCTAAGCGTGCACCGCCCGCGGCTGCCTCCAGGATGGCAGGGCGGGTTGGAGCACACCGCGCAAACCCGCTGCGATGCAGCAATGCAGCTGTGTGGATGCGAAAGCGCAGCTATCCTCGTGCTCGGCAGCTGCCTCGCAATACACCATACTTTGTAACAGACGCCTGGCGGACGAAGTGCTTGGGGCTTGGCAGCCTGCCACGTCAGCGTGGCCAGCTGGCGCTCAGCTGGTGCTGGCTCCCTAACAGTCATCACCTGCTTCTTCGAGGTTTGGCCGCCGACACCAACAGCGCGCCTCCCGAGTCGGACCATCATGGTGGCGCACGCCGTCTGGTGCACAGGCCCTGCTGTCCGTGGCTCCGGCCATCTTCCCCACACAAGGTGATGCCACTGGGGTCGCAACCCTAAACCCTATCAGCCCTAAACCCAGGACTGTCCTGGCCCTGTAAGCAGGTCCGTCCACCTGGAGTGTCAAAGCTTTCATCAGAGCGCACAACCCTGCACATTGTGTACTGCATCAAGACCTCCAAGCATGCAGGAGGGAGACACCGCCAGGTCTGGACAGGTGGATGTGTGCCGAGGTTTGGGGAGGCGGCCTTGTCCCTCCCAGAACTGCGTGGCTCTCTTCAGCTTTACCTCACCCGGCATATAAAGCCGTCACAAACACACGGTTCAAGGGGCAAAAGCATGCTCAGGCTCATACACTGGGTCCAGGTTTGTAGGTTGGGGGTAAGGGCGCTCGTGTGCGCTGAGAAGGGGCTTGCCGGCTTGAAAGGCGTGGTGTACACATGCATGCAGGGCTTGGTGCGCATTGCAGCGCGATGCAAGGTCGTGCAGCGCCCGGCCGGCTTGGCAGAGGGGCCATGCATAAAGGAAATAACGGTGCACGCTAGCGTGGTGGCAGCGGGGTCAGCACATTGTAGACAGGTTGCATCAGGCTGCTCGACTCAAAGGCGTCTGCATTTATGGATTCCGTGTCTCAAATTCGCGCACTAGGCGCCCGTGCTCGCCTGCGTGCGCGCATGAGCAGCAGCTGACCAAGATGATCAGCCGCTTGCTGCGGGAGTTCCAGTGTGTTGTGGTGGGCCCGCGCTGCTGCCACGGGCCGATGGCACTCTGGACGAAGAGGGTGGTGCCGCATCGGCCTCAGGGCGAGCGCAGGGCCCCTGACACCGCGCCGTGTCAGTGATGTCAGCGTCGGGGGTATAATCGCGCCTCAGCGGAGCGCGACGGCAACAGCAGCAGCGGGGAACAACCGGTGACTTGGCGGTGGGCGGCTGCGCCCTTCCGCGTGGGACGCAGCATGTTGCGCGCGCGCCCGAGGCAGCGAAACTAAGACGATCAAAGGGCGCTTCTCTACTGAGATCTAGATTGTGGGTTGCTTCAGGGTTTTGACCGCCAAGTTTGCTGGGAAGAGCTACGCTGATGAGAAGCTGCTGTGAAAACAATCAGCAGGTTGTCGACCTGCGTGGTGTGGGCGTTGAGGGTCGGCAGATTTTAGTGGTGGGGCGCTCGCATCGGCCATCCTTGTCAACCCGATCGTGGCAAGTGGCCCTGCACAATCCCAGCAAGTCAACAGGACAAGCTCAGTTGCGCGTGTTGGTGCCATCTGCTCGGCTGCACTGTTGGTGAGCACAGCCAGTACGTCTTTGTAAGTCAAAGGAAGCGATAACAAGACAGCTGGTGCACTGCAGTTGTTATCGGCACGCTCACCTCTTCGCGAAGGTCAGGGTGCTCTGCAGGCCGCGGGCAAACTGCAGGTGGGACAACGCGCGCGCAGCGTGACGGGGCACGGGCTCAGCCATGCAGGCCAGCGCGCGATCCATCCAGACCCCGTGCCTCCGCAGCCGCGGCGCTGGGGCAGCAACGGCATGTTCAATACCCGGAACGCCCGCGCGTCGATCTCGCTGGCTGGGCAGAAAAGAAGCCACCCCGCAGGTCCAAGGCTACACCCTGTCGCCCCCAAACCCACCTTCCGGCGAACTGCTATCCGGCCCATATTCAGTGGCGACGCCACCACCAGAGCCCCCGCGCAGCCATCCCTGGCGCCCGGCTGCTGAACTTCCGGCCCGGCCCCCGGCGGCGTCCGAGCGGCGGCCCCCGTCCCGCCGCCGCACTCCAAGCCCGCCGCCGCCGCCGCTGCCCAAGCGAACGGCCCCGCCGCGCCGCCCTCCTCCAGCGGTTCCGGCTCGCCGCCGGCCGCCGCTGGCTCTTGCTGCTGCTGAATGCAGGCGACGTCCCAAGGCAGCTGCTGCAAGTCCGAAGCGGCGTGCCTGTGCCGGATGATCTTATCCAGCACAGAGCACATCGGGATCAGCTGCCCCGACGGCAGCTGCAGCAGGCTGCAGGCCGAGCGGCCGAGCGCGCTGCCGGGCCGCGAGGCGCCGCCCGGCCCGAGGTTTGCCCCACAGCCCGTCGCGCCAGGGCTGGCGCACGGGGACTCTGCAGACGCAGCGGGATCCCCTCCGAGCGGCGGAGGGCCCGGCGGGGAAACCCCTTCGACGGGGCCGATAGCTGTGCTTTCGCAGGCAGCGGCGGCGCCGGCCGCTGTGGTGTCAGGGACACCGCCAAAGAACGCGGCCGCCCCATCCGCCGCCCTGCCACGTCCCCCGCTGCCTCCGCTGCCGCTGCCCACCGTCCACTTGCCGCCCCCGGCCCCAAGCGCGCCGCTCCCGGCGCGGCCGAGCGCCTCGTCGCCGCACAGGTGGCCGCTGATGTGGCAGTCGTCCTCGCAGCCGCTGCCGCTCGCAACCTCGTCGCCGTCGTCGTGCTGCAGGACATCGGCCAGGGCGCAGATCACCTCCTCATCCTCGTCATCCTCGTCCTGCATGGGGTGCCAATTTCAAGGCAATGGGATTGTCAACAGCTGGCGGCATCTCAGCATCAGCAGAGGGCAGGTGGTCACGCCCAGCGCAATGCGTAGTGCCTGCCTACAGGAACCATGTACGTATATGATGGCGCCCCTGGAGATGCGGCTTGAAAATTCACGTGGGCCGATCTGGGGCCTGCGCCCTGTAGCCACAATCCACTCAAGCCGTACAGACAAGAAGTGGCAAAGGCTGCCCAGAAAGCGCCTGCCGTACCCAAACGCACCTCTTCGCCGCCCGCGTGCGCGTTGATGATGGCTGCGACGCACACAGTCATCCCGCGCCGCTTCCCCGAGGCCTCGCCGCCCCCCGCCCCCTCCCCCGTGGCCATCAGCCGCTGCGCCGCCGCCTCCGCCACCGCGACCGCGTGCGCGACTGACCGCCGCTGCTGCTCGCTCGCCTGCCGGAGGTTCGGGTGCCCCTCCCGCCCCTGCGACCCCTGCCGCTCCACCTCATGCGCGTCTGCCCCCTCTTTGACCTGCTCGCCTCCGACCCCATCGGCGATGCGCCGCGCGCCCTCACACCCCGGATAGTGAGCTGCCTGTTCGCTAAACAAGCTGATCCTGTGGCCCCCAGCCTTCGGAGTCGACGCGCCGCTGCCGGCGGCGCCGCCGGCCCCGAACGCGTCGGAGCAGCTACCGCGCGCGTGGCTGCCGTGCGCGAGGGCCGAGAGGTTGCTGCAGCTGACCACTGGGCTGAAGCTCCGGGCCATTATTGACCAGGCCAGGGTTGGGGTGCTACAGGCTGAGGCGTCTGCAAGGCATGAGGTAATAATGAGGGGCAAATTGTGGTTGGGTCATGCATTTAGGGTAAGTTGGTCGGTGGAGGCTTGGAGTCAGGATTAGTTTCAGAGCGCACTTTGGTTCATGAAGGTGGCATGGGTAAGTGCCTGCACACAGCAAAACGAGGTGGGCTGGGCAAGAAGCCCCCGCCTTGGTGGCTTGGCCCGTGCAGCGCTGGCGCCCCTCGCGCACCGGCGCGCAGGCTGTCAAAGAAGGGGTGCTTGAGCAGCGCCAGCGCCCCCGGCCGCTGCGTCGGGTCAAACTGGATGCAGATCTGGATGAAGGAGCGCAGCTCCCCGCTCTGCACCCGCCCCAGGCCTGCAGGTGGGATGCCCTGTTGGGGCAGAGGGATGACGTCAGCAAGGTCAGGTGTGCCGAGGGCCAGCATATATGAAGATGAGATGTCATCGGTACGAGTACGGGAAGCTGCCCGCTGCACATAAATTGTTGGCTGTGTAGCTTCCACGCATGGACCCCCCCTTCCCTTGGTGGCTCTGACCTGGGAGACCTTGCGGAATATGGCTGGGATGGATCTGCACTCGCTGTAGGGGTACTCCAGGGTGGCCAGCTCCAGCATGCACATGCCGAAGCTGTAGACGTCCACCTGGGAAGCACGCAAGCACGCACACACGCGCATGTCGCGCGGTCCAGGGCCCTCCATTCACGAGCAACATGCCCGCTGCGCCCCTTCATTTTGCCCACTGCGCACTTGGCCAAAGCTGTGCAGCATCGCGCACCACATGCTGCGATCCCCGTGTCCCCCCGGGTTGTGGACCCCAGCAACATTGCCACTTTTACGAAGGTGGGAACCACCTCCCGTCAGCCACCCGCCTTCTCGTCGTAAACCTCGTCGTAAATCTCAGGGGCCATGAACTCTGGCGTGCCAACCACGCTCAGGCCGCGCCTGCAGGACGCCAGCCCCAGGTCTGCAATCTTGACCACGCCGCTCGTCCCGTTGACCAGGATGTTGTCGCATTTGAGGTCCCTGTTTGTGTCCAAACAGACACAGGCACTGCATGTTGATGCTTTTGTGCCATTTCCTCTATATTTGCACCATCTGCTTCGATCACACGTCTCTGCAGCCGCGCGCTCAAGGCGTGGCGCACTACTGCAGCGAGCTGAGCCGGTCGCCGCTGCTGCCGCTGCTGTCGCTGCTGTCGCTGCTGCCGCTGCTGCTGCCGCTGCTGCTGCCGCTGCTGCTGCCGCTGCGACCAGTGGTCGCTGTGAATCAGTCCGTACCCCACCTGTGCACGATGGGCGGGTCATGAGCATGCAGGTACACGAGGCCCTCCAGTATCTGGTATGCCCAGCGCTTGATGGCCGTCTCGCTGATGGCGCGGTGCTTCTTGCGGTACCTAGGGGCGGGTAGTGGGGGTGTCATGTGTGGGGTGCTCATGGAAGAGAAAAGGGTCCAGATGTGGGTTGTCAAGGCCTGACCAGGACCGGGCGCTATGGTTGCCAGTGTGCAGTGCAAGTGGAAGGGACGGGTCCCTGCAGCGACGCACTGCCCCACGATGAACTCACTGCCGCAGCGTGCCGCTCGTGAAGTACTGGGTGATTTATGGGTTGTGCATGCGTGTGGGGGTCACGAAGCATGGGTCGGATTTGAGTATGTCAAACAAGGCCAGGGCTTGCACAACTGACAGGGACCTTGCCATATTGACAGCGACCCTGCCTGCGCTCAAGGGTCGCAGCTGCCAACAGCGCATCCCATCGCCACACGTCCGGGCGGGCACTATCCGATTTACAGCCGCCGATGCGCCCGAGAGCGCCGCCAGCCGGGGTCCGTCCACCCCTGCCGCGCAGCCACCCGCAGGCCCCGCTTCTCCGCCTTCACCTCTGTGATAAAGTTGATGGTTGCTGTGCGGCTGTCGTACCACCAGTCGTGGAACTTCATTATGTTCTTGTGTGTCAGCTGCTTCAACACCCTGCGGCGCCACGGGCAGCGTGGGAACGGGGGCTCCGTCGGGCCGCAGGTCAGTGCCGCGGCGCCGCAGCGCTGCGCTCGGCTGGGGCTGCCGGTGTCGGTGCACAGAGGTGTCGCAAGCCGCTGGTTGCTGGTTTCCAGGGAGCTAGTTGTATCTGCTGCGCTTTATGGGCCGCAGTGGGAGGCGCCGGCCAGACCGCCACGCTGACAGCGCAGCTGACATCTGTCCATCGTGGTTGTTGCTACTTCGTCGTCCTGACCTGCTTCCCACTGCTCACTGTTTTCTCACCAGGGCTTCTCATCTCAGCACCCACACCTCTTGCTGTGCGTAGCCGTGTCATGCTATTGGCCGAGCGACTCTCGCTCGGTCTCTGCAGGCCCCGTCGCCCCCGCCCTGGTGCAACACATACTGATGGTCGCACCTTATCTCTGCAAATAGCCGCTCCCGCTGCTGGTCATCCAGGTGATTTCCAGACAGCTCCACCTGGTTCCAGGCAACCTCTATGCCCTCGGATTGATCAAAGGCTGGCGGAGCGTCACGCAGGGGGCCGGGTGTTGCACGCGGGGGGGGGGGGGGGGG